GAGGAAATGTGAACAACTTACCAACTTCCTGAAACTTATCTTCTATTAGATGTAGAAAAAATAAGAGAGAAGAGAGGCGTTGATTATGTTATTTAACTTCTTCTCACCCACCATGTCACTACAATACAACTTAGAATGGCAATTTGTTAATACTAAAGACACATGGGTGGCATTTTTGTCCTCACAAAGGGTACCTTTTTTTTATAAGGGGGAAAACAATGGAGGAACATGTCTCCTTATCGTGTCTTGCAAGGTCACATTACTGCACGGCCTATATAATAGGCACATATATATGGACATGTATTTCTGTTTACGATAATTCTATTTTATGGTCTGATTTGTCTTTTTTTTTAAATAGTTGATGACGTGGAAAAGCTTGATGAGTGGAGGGGGTGGTGGCTTCCACCAATGGTTGTCTTGTTGGGGTCCTTCCAATTTGTTTTTGTTTTGGGCAATGATTATTGGGTTTTTATTTCTGGGGGAAAACAGGAGAGAGAAGGAAGCATGTGACTGTTTTCATGGCACTTTATCTATTATGGCTTTAATTCTGTATTTTTATAAGAGAGGGTCTTTGGACGGATGCCCCTTTGTTGGTTGTGGATGTGGAGGGGCATAAGCCACATTGCATGACCATGGATCAACTATCCATTCTAACTATTCATTCTCTTCCTTTCTTCAATCCACTCTCTCTCTCTCTCTCTCTCTCTCTCTCTTAGCCATTCATATGTATAAATAGGATATATGTCTATATATACATACATATATGTATGTACGTATGTATAGATGTATGCATGTATGTATGATAATCTCTTTGCTATTACTGCCACAGAAATCTGTGATATGTCATATATCATTGATGTAAAGAAATTTAATTAAATCGAATATAGAGTGCGAGAAAATCTATTATTTGAATATAAAATATTAATATCTTTATAATTTGTTTTCATCATATTCAATGTCTAAACTTAGGAAGAAAAAATTTTAATAACCAAATTTTAAAATTTTAATTAATAATTTTTTTATCATATTCAAAGTGTGAACTTGGGAAGAAAGACATTTTAAGAGTCAAAATTTTAAATTTTAATTTCTAAATAAATTTTATAAGTATTGTGATTTAATTAATCTAAGAATCAAACATTCCAACCATATTTTTCTTTTTTAGAAAAAAAAAAAAACAAAAGAGGTTGAAACCTATTAGGGAAGATAAAATACCTTGAATTGGGCTCGAAAATAATTGTTTGAGTTAAAACTCTGAGACAACTCAGTCAATTATTCCAAAGACAAATATATAATAATCCAAAATAGGGGAGCTAAATTTATTTCAAACAAATCAAGGAGCAATTTGATCAATGTATAAAGTGAACAATACCTAATCTAAATAAAGTAGAATGACAGTAGCAGATATCAATTTTTTGCTTCTTCTAAACAGTATTAAAATAGATCTAAGGATTATCATTAGAATGGAGCTTTTGACCATCCGAGCTAATCTATTAATGGAGTGAAATTACTGAGAAGGGTCAAATATGCTAGTGAGCATTCTATAAAAAGACCAGAAGACAGAAAAAGGATGAGGGTCAAATTTGTCTATGAGCATTCTAGAAGAGCTTCTTGGAAACAAACACTTGGCTAAGTCTTTGGTTAATGTTTGAATATTTTAATACTAAAACAAAAGAAAGAAAAGAGAAGATGATGTGGAAGAACATGGTTAATGGATAGATAAACTCTTTTAATAAAAGGGAGATGGAATGGAACAAATTAGGAGGTGGGAATGCCATGCCAGAAGTCCTTGTTTCCTTGCGTGAGACAGGCCTCATTGTCACCATGAAGTAATCAGTTTACACACAACTACTCTGTTAGTTTATTAGTTTAACTAAAGTTCATCTTGGATGAGTCAATTCCACCCTGATTGTCATCTTCCAAAAACCATACCAAGCTCAAACATCTATTAAATGACTCTCTCGCTCTCTCTCTCTATCTCTCTCTGTGCAATATAATATGGTCATTCTGTTATTTATGTTATGTTTGAAGATAGTTATACTTGTTTTGGTTTTGTGTAAAAGGTAAAAAAGTTGGATTTTGGAATAATGAGTTGAATAATTAGGAGTTGAATAAGAATGAGAGATTTGAGCAACCATTGACAAAATTTTTGAACGCAAAAAATTTATGTTATAAATTGTTTTCTAAAATATACCCCTCCCTTATTGAGCTTCCACTCTTAATTTTTTAAAAATACAAACAGAACAAAAATAAATATTATTAATCAGGAATCACAAAACTAAAAAAAGAACTTTTTTTCTACACAAGTGCTCTTATGGATATGCTTTGTTTGCTTGTACTCTAGTGAAAAACCATCAAAAGAAATACAATAAGCTACTCTTAATTCAGTACACAACAACCTTTAATTACTTTTATATTGATGCAAAATCTAATCAATCCACGTCCTCCCGATCTGCTTTTTCTTCTGGATAATGAATGTTTAATTAAGGTTTCACCTTTCCAAAGCACATTTCACATGCAGTTCATCACTTGGAAAATTATGATTTCTTTCACCAAATCAATGGCGGTGTTCTCCATTAAGAATTGTACTTATCCTTAACTTTGACCATCTCCAATGGATCAACCAATTGGCTTTGCCATTTGCTTATCTAAGCAATTAGGTCATCCATAACCAGATTAATTAAATTTAATTATTAATTTAACAGCACAGTTACAGGATAAGAAGGAAGAATTACTCAAGGACCCGTGATTCGACCAAGCCCAAGACCAAAGTTAGATTAATCAGTTTGGTGAATAATATGGCCTCGTAAACACGAGTTTTTTGATTTAAAAGCACTTGATTATATAAATCAAACCGATGTTAATGATTTGAAATGCTCCACTTTGACTAGAAAACCTCTCATTTGCCTTGTCTGTCACGGATACGGTGGGTTTTCTTGGTACTAGGTGGTTAAGGTATTGACTCTGCCAAAGTTCTGTTAGCCTCTCCCAGTCATGCCGCCGAATGGATACTCAATCAGCTTTAGAAACGTTTCATCCGCCGATGGGTTTTGCTACAAGATTGGCTGTTGACATTTGGATGTCATACAAGTGCGTGTCGGCACACACACCCAACTGTGAGAGAGAGAGAGAGAGAGAGAGAGAGAGTTTCGGTGCCCAAATGTAATTTTCCAGCAAAGGATTCACACGACTCCACAAATTTGTTTCATTCCCAGAAAATTTCATGTTTCCGAAAATTTTCCCTTTGTAGAGAGGCCAATGTAAAGCATCTTAAAGAAGAGGAAAGAGGATATGAACTGTTGGGCTGATAATTGATAGTGGAGGCTTGAGATGAACAAAATTTCTTTTACAATCTTTTTTGAAAGGATTTGAAACCCTAAACCCTCACGAAAATTTACTGAAATAAAGAAATAGAAGAGATCTTAATTCTAACAACTTATTCCCCAGTTCTCTTTTCTTAGGATAATTTTCTAAGAAAAATCTCAATTTCTGAAACGACAAATCCAAGATTGGTTGCCCTAAATTTGTGCTAATAGGGTAGTCACCTCAATTTGACTAGTACTAGAACCCTTCCAATAATAAAGAAGCTGCAAATACTAAATTTTGAAATAATTGAAAGATCTAGTAGAAGAAGAGGAAAGGAACATGTGAAGTAGAGTTAATGGTAAAACCTAAAACGGTGCGTGGGGTTTGCAACCGATATTCAGACAGAAATGTGGGGATAAGATGAACATGGGATTAGGTGGAACAAGCGTGTTCTACGCTGTCATCAAGTACTATATAATGGAACTTAAAGCTAAGGCAAATTAAATACTGAGTCGCCTCAAATTATTTGGCTAAAACTTTATTTAAAGTTTGTGTCTCTATCCGATTTATATATTCTTTGCTTGGTCTGTAGGAGGCTAACTCGGTTATCTACATTATTAATGAACATAATAACATTATATAAATTCAATATGATTGATCACACCGCCATCGTCCATGATCCACCCAACAAAGATGGTTGTGCACGAGTGCGTGCCTTGGTTAGCAATCATCCCTTGCTTATCTCATAGAAAATAATAATGACAGCAGAGAGAAAGTAAAGAATTTTAATTATGAATTATAAATTTGATTAAATTAAAGCGACTGCTAGAATTAAGAATGAGGGAGGTTAACACAGACCTAAGAAATTATTGATTTGGCAAGTCCAAGGGAGTATGGCATGCCCTGCCTGCTCAAGTAGAGAAGCATGAATGCAACACTTCAGGCAAAAATGAAGATTAATGACCTGAAATGAAAAGTGAAAATTGAGACCTTCAATAATATGTGTAAAGTGGTCGTGCCGTCGATCATGAAATAGCTTGGAAGAATGGGTTTCTTTTGGATTTTTTTTTTTTTCAAGGGAAAATGTAAGTCTCTTGGTAAGTTTATTTTTGAAAACTACTATCTGAGAATTTTCAGGAAACAATAAAAAGTTGTTTGTTCTGCTCAAAGTGACAACGATACGAAAATAATTTTAGTTTCAACATATTCACTGTTTTTCATTTTAAGTAAAAACTTTAAAAAAAGGAAGAAATTAAATACAAACAGATCATTCACTACTTACTCCAAGCAATTTTACTCTCCTAAATACCAGTATACTTCCACTTCTTTATAGTTTACGTCAATGTATGTATATAGGTGTATAAAGCTGCAGCCTGCAGGGCGTGCACAAATGCATGAACATAAAGGCACAACTTGGCATAGAATAGCTTTGGAAAAAAAAAATAGGGATCTTCCATATCTCACTTGAAGGTAATGTAGGATCTATTATGGTTGTACAGTACATTATTTTCTAAAGCTAAATAAAATTGAAAAAAAAATTATCAATAACAAGCTGCTTGAACTACAAATATATGCTCCATTGCAGTAACTACACCAATTTCTTCAGCATACTATCCATTTCAAAGTCATAAAAATGCAATCGAACAAGTGATAAAGGAAACTTTGAGAATAATTACCTTGCATGAAGATCTTCAGCATTAGCGAACTGGTAGTTGTAAGCTTCCTGAGGAAGTTTTTGGCTTCACAAGATATGGAAGTGTAATGTCAGGCAGGGATGAGTCTGAAGTAACCTCACGGAAAGGGACTTGAAAAGCTACAGACTGGTATAAACAGACTTCATCCTCCTTACAGTAGTAAACCTGGGAAGCATGAAGCAGTGGCAACTCAACATTTGTTATCATATCCAAGGACCTCACCGCCAACCTCCCCCCCCCCCCCAAAAAAAAAAAAAGGAAAAAATATTTTTTAGTGTGTTTGGGGGATGGGAAATGTATCAGTTCTCTCTATCTTTGACAAAGAAATGTTGTTCTGTTAAGAGCTTAGCATTTCCTTCTCGTTTTTATATTGAAAAAAAATTGAAGCACCAGTATGCTTGCAAGTGGAAGTGGGCATCACAAATTTGGTATTGGACTTAAAGGGATTGCCAAGGCACAGGGTTCCTTGTTTTGTGAGGGTTGGAGGAGGCTCGTTGAGTGTATGAAACATTGTTCCCATTTTGCATATACAGGTTGTTTTCCATGACTCAATTCCATGAATTTTGGGTCCACAAGAAGCAACCTTATAGTCACTTTAAGGCTTACCCTCAAACACAATAATGTTTAGCCTTGGCTTGAGCTTAGGCCATAACTGGACTCGTGTCTTATGACGAGATAACAAGCCACATGCAAACAGGTGTCAAAAGCATATCAAATGGTTGATGGGATCATGGGAAAACACTCAACTTAATCCAGCTATGTTTTCCGACTATACGAGTCCACTACAACTTCTATCATTTCTTAATTGCTCAACATTCCATAACATAAAGCTAATTCTATTACTGTCTTGTAAAATTTTTCTTTGTTTCTTTTTTAATCCCAAAAGTATAGTTAATGCACAATATACCAGAAGCATTCTCCACTTAGTCCATCATGGTTTTTCCAATGAATAACACCTAAACTAATTGCTTTCCTCAAATGCATGATTGCACCTACATACTGTAGTTGCTCACTCTTTTGTATATCTTGTCATTTTCAATATTCCTTCTTTATGGAAGTCAAGGCGCTATATGTTCATTTAACATGATCTATTCAATACATCTATTCAATGTATTGAATAGATACGAGGAAAGTGGTTTAGAAAGTTCTGAACAGATGAAGGGATGTGCTACTTTGACCCAAGTCAAGACGTATAACAAGAAAGTGCAGTCTGCACAAGTAATACCTTGCAATTAATTCTCCCACAGAAGCCGATGGAGTTAATCTTCTGAAATGTAGTGTGGTGGTTCCTTCTGGGCTCAGATATCCATCCACAGGATCAATTGAGACTTGATTCTCTGGCTCAGTTTCTACATTGAACTTGCTGCGTGCTTCCTGCATTTTCAATTATAAAGCTGAGATGATGCAATTGAATAATGGCTGATAGTGTCACATGACTGCTTTATGCAGGAAAATTGAAGAGATTTTGAGAGAACAAGACACCTTAGAGAAATGGTATCCTTGAGGGACCGATATTTTAAGATACAAGTTCCCCTTTTTGGATGAACCACCATCCACTGTAATGGTCTCTGTATCTGCTGATGATCGTCTTCTCAGACGCTTTAAAGATCTGGATTTTGGTGTGGGAGGCCGAACCCCTTTCAGCTCTAAAGTAAGAAGTTCAGGTTCTTCCTTGTCAAGGTCTAGGTACTGATCACACTGTTGTTTGTATCGGCAATAAAAGCTTTCCTGCAAAAACATCAGAACCTATGTAAGGGACTAGACTTTAGGAAACCAAGACACTTGAATTGCATATAAGTTAAAAGAAATCACCACAGTACTTCTAGAATGCATCAGAAGTTACTCGCAAGTACTTAGATTGATTCATTTGTCTAACAAGCAAGACTTTATGATGCAGTCATGGTTTACTAGGTCACTATGTGTCGACCATTGGAGAATTCTTATAATATAGGGGAGAATAAGCTTAGTCGGCATGCATTTTCTTGCCCAAAGAAAGTATTAGGCAAGAAAACAAGAGCAAATTAAAAATAGTTAGAAACTACAATTCCTAGTACAGTCAATGGAAGGCTGACCCATAGAAGCTTTATACCTATTTCTTGGACATGGATTCAATGTTATTGCCACTAGCTTACATCATCCAAGTCAAGGTGTCATTAAAAAATGTGCAACCCTTCAGATCCAACTCAAGGAAATCGATTAGAGGATGACCCTTGAAAAGGAAAATCATAGAGACTTCATACCCACAATTATATCAATTAATGGAAGACATACGGTTGGTAAGTATTTTTCAAACACCGATGGAGGTGTAAGACTGGTAATCAATAATTTGTAGCATATAAAGGGAGAAGAGCATCACCATTTTCCACCTCAACAATTCCTGATGGTTCTGACAACTGCAAAAAGAAATTTTATATATATTAAAAAAAGGTGCTGTGCTCCACATTGGAATGCAAAGGCATATAGTAAAATAGAAATATGGAAAGAAAACTCTAATAAGAGAATAGGTAAAAATTATTTCTGCTCATTTATTAATTTAGGAAAAAATACAGTTCAGCATATGAATGGCACAGCTTCTGCTCTAGTTTCATCAGATGCACTAGATGTCAAGGAGAAGCATTATGTTATAAGCGAACAGATAATCAACTACTTCATTCCACACTAACATTTAGTTATGACAATAACTATGCACTCAATTCCTGCTTAATTTTCTCTTTAAACAAAGACAAGGACAACTAGAAAACCTTTAACATTGATAATCTAAGTGAGAATACTTCTCAGACAGAACTTTAGTTTAAGTTAGCTTTAATACAGAACCTCCATCAAACATTCTGTATAGAATCATAATGTTGTAACAGGGACCTCAGTGAACATTTAAGAAAATATTCATCCTTCTATTTTCATTGTTCAAAGGACTGGATAATCTACTGGAATCTGTCATTGAGTCTTGTTCCCCCATCATTGTTTTAACTCCTGCATTATCAACTCATTTTGAAGAAACACTTATCTTGCAATAAGAGGAATCCTCACCATTTCATTTATGACAATGTATTTCATCATATCTAACTTCATCGTGAATGTATGACCTTCCCATGCAGACTTGTATAAAGTCTTTAATTCAATAATAAAGTTAATCCCTCTTTTAATTTTTAAGAGGGCTAAGTGGGAGTGGGCCATTTTTTCATTCAGAGTCACATATATCATCTTACCTACAAAATTTTCAGGAGTTCAAATTCCAACCACCATCAAGGCACTTAAACAATTTGATTTTTTTTAATTAAAAAAAGAAAAAGAAAAGAAAGACAAGAAAAGTTCTTCTGCTGCCTGTATTAGATAACCCATGATCTAAACCAATATAACAGTTCTCCATCATTAATGAAAATTATAAAACTGCAACAAATATTGAATCAAAATTTGAGTGACAGCATTTATTCTGCAAAGTTATGGAAGGCAAAAACAAAAAGCATTTTAACAATTGTCCAACCTGAGACCCTATGGCCTTCCCATCCCTGAAACCAGCTTTGCCTGTACCTGCTACTGTACTAACTCTTTTGCTAGCTGGATCTAACTTCTTGATCTGAAATTGAAAAGGAAACTTCAGCAACCCAGCCCAAGATTTTACTGTTGCATGTGATCCAGAGAAAATAAAATTATCTCTTTAAGAGAAAATTTTATGTGGTTCTAACCAAAATTAATCTTAACATTGTATAACTCAATAAAGGTGGGCCCATTTTAGGAGGTTGTGCAGTATATCCTTAGTTTTAGATCTCTAGGGAATAGAATGAATCATAAATATAACCATAAATGAGGGAGTTCAGATTGATTCATGTTCTTTACAGCCTAGTCCATCATCAAGATCCTCCAGCACCCTCACAATCTCCATCTCTGGGTTCTTGGTAACAGTCTGAAACTACTCACCCATATTTGACAGAGACATGGGGCCATATTACTCGGCCTTGGGTACCCAGTTTTAAGCTGTGGGTGCAGGAACATGCATCAGGCCTACTAAATTCTTAATCCGTGTGTGAGGCCCAAGAATATGTATCCAAACGTCCAAATCTTTTCATTATCTATTACGTTAATATTCTAGTTTAAGATGTTGCTTAGGATAAAAAATGTAATTGAAATAAAATAAGATTTAACCAATGGGAATTCTCTTACATCCACGTGAAAGCGAAGACTACAGGAATTTTTTATTACCAATATGACATTTTGATGCAGTACCAAATAAAATTAGGAGTCTAAGTGTCTAATTTGGTGGTAGTCCCTGACATATATCACAGACCTTACTATTTTCATATAAAATTGACTTGGAAACATTAAAGGGCATAAAAGTCTTAACCAATGCCACCAGAGCATCCCCTTAGGATTTGTATCATAGTCATGGAGTGAACCTATGGTGGCTCCTGACATGCGACATGTACGCAGCTTCACTGGCCAGAGTGAAAATTTAAGATCAAGGTTCGCATAAAATTTATATATTCCCCCACTAATTTCAAGGATTTTCTCCAACAAATTTTAAAAAGTAAAATTTAGGTGTATAGATTATTTGTAAGTAGCCCCACTGAAATGAAATTCTGGATCATCCACCACTCATGACCCCTTTGTAAGGGAGTTTTTTTGGGGGATGGGGGGTGGGGGAGGCATCAATATCAAGTTGCTGAGATGATTAGTTCCTCAGATTTGAGTAGTACTCCTCCCTGAAGCATAGCTCATTTGTTATTAAAAGGTGGCTCAAGCTGGGCAATGAATCTTAGATATGCCAAGTGTCCCATTACTCCATTACATAAGGGCAAGACCAACTGCTTTTATACCTGTTGAATTGTTAATTACCATCTCATCTAAAAACTAAAGTTTGTAGAAAGAGGAGTAAATTAACTATATATTATTTAACACGCCCCTTCATATATGGCCAGACTTTATGATCACAACATGACTAACACGTGGAAACTTTTAAACTTGCGGGTGGCAAGACTTAAAGACAAGACCTTTGCCTGCTCTGATACCATGTTGAATTGTTAATTACCATCTCATCTAAAAACTTAAGCTTGTAGAAAGAGGAGTAAATTAATTATACTTTACTTAACAATACCCATTTGCTTGCCTCTGGGATAAATATGGAACATAAAAGTGAGTAGTCATTTAGGTGGTCCACCATGGAACAAGTGCCACCAATTTCTCACTTGTATCTCCATGAGAAAACTTAAGGATCTTATCCCAAATCTGGGGACAGTCATAAATAATCAGTAATTACCTTGTGATTATAGGAATCTGCTATATAAATTTGTCCATCCTTCCCACACAAAACACCCAATGGATGTTGAAGAAGTACTTCAGGCCCTGCTCCATCGTGATCTCCAAACTGCAAAAATTTGAAACAGACCACGAATATAGGAAATTACCTTATATTGCAGCAGGTATATCAAGCCAAAATTTAGTTTCAAGACCTTTTACTAACATCTGCATAATCTGTTGGCATTGAGATGGAATATTTATCTAAGATGAAACAGGTTTATCAATGAAAAGAGATACCTTGAATAAATTGTCTGCAAAAAAGGGATCACCTCCTGCTAGTAATCTTGATCCTCCAGTTTTCAAATCAAGTGCTCGAATGGAACTACTTTCACTATCAGCAATATATGCCTCCTTCAAATCTGTATATATACATTTCAATCATATTATTTCAATATAGAAAGTTGTTTCAGAAACCTCCTAATAGTTAAAAGACATGTAAGTTGCAAAAAATACCATCATATTACCAGATGATAAGGAAATCCCTGAAGGTTGTGCAAATGATGTGCTTGTAGAGCTATGTCACCAAATAGAAGACAGAAAAATAATTAGTGATTTTCAGAACCCAGATGTGCTGTTGAAGTGCATCTTTTCCTCTGCATAACAATGAGGGGTTTGGCACATACTAGTAATTAAACAAGATGTATGAAATGAAAAGGCCTAACGTTGCTGTGGATTTGAATGACTAGTAAATTAAACTAACAATTGCATTTGAGATTTCATTTTAACCTGTAAGGAGATGAATAGTCATCACATATGGAAGCTTAGATGATAGTGCAGTGAGACCAGTCCAAAATACAATGAGTTTGCAATAATCTTTCCCAGATAAGAAATTGTTTAATGTTCCATGTGGCATATCAACATGAACGTTAAAAATAAAAACAATGTTTTTGGACCAAAAATGATGAATTGTGTTGATAAAGGAGGTTTATAGAGTAGAAAGTGAGGAAAAGTTATTGTAGCTGGATTGCATGAGTCGTAGGTCTGCCAATCAGATGAATTGAACCAAGTTTTTGGTGCTCAAGTTTGCCAACTTAATTTTGAGTCACATCATGTAGAGCTTGAGCTGAATTTCGTGAAGCTTGAGCTTAGTTTTATTTTTTCATTCAAGCAGAGCTGGATGTGAAACTGAGCTCAACATTAGTAAATGGGTCAACTTCATTAATAAGATTTGTTGAAAGTTTACAAGAATGCTCAACATCAGCTTGACTTATCTATAGATAACATATCTATTTTACTTTGTAATTTTGACAAAATATTTTTTTTAGATAATGAAGTTGCCTAGCATGAAACTTGACTAGATACCTTACAATAATTCATGATCAAATTAATGAAGTACTGTAGCTGGGTATCTATATAAATTTGCTCATTAATTTTTACATGAAACTACCCATGGGCCTCAAACAACCTATACATGAGCTTGTTTACGAGTATATATATGAGCTAGCTTGCAAGCTCAAAAGCAAATAAACCATGATTTAAATGACCCGAGCTTATTTGTCTCAAGTTTGGCTCACTCATAAACGAGCTTGAAAATGAAGCTCATACTAAGTAAATTAACCTTAACAACTAAGCTTGAGCAAGCACTTAGAACTCCATAAGGCTCACAAGTGGTTTCATTTAGGACGGGTGAATAATATGTAGATATATATTGTAATCTAAGATCAGGCTAGAAGTGTGGTGAAGACTACTTTAAAGGATCAAATGTGGAAACAGTCCGTCAAAGGTACACATCAGAATCAGACTAATAGTCCACATTCACATCTGGCCTTCTTGGATGGTACTGCAAGAATCAGACTGCTCAGCTTGTACTATTCTCCAGCATAAGTCAGAATTGTTTGGGTATGCATGTCTACTTTCCTACTATTCCAAAGAATCAAACAGAACTTCTTTTAGCACAATCCCCCAGCCGCCTCGAAAAAGAAAAATAAAGGAAAGTAATTTATCTCACAACAATTAATATATTTAACAGAAATTCCTTTCCCTTCTGTAGCATAGCTACATAGCTAACAATTACATGATACATTATAATACAATAATGAACTAAGAAAAAACATTCTATGTTGGCAAGCAAAATTTTCAAGCCATGTGAAGAATTAACTAACAAAACTGACAGGAAATATGTTTAACATGCAAATGCAAATTATATTGGTCATGTAGATTATGCATATTTGAAAACATATTAGAAATAAACATGATGCACTGAGAGGTTTATAGAAGAAAATAGGAAAGCAGACAAAGTAATCTTAGTCCTTGGAGACATTGTATTTCATAATTTGTATACCACCTTGAACCATTCAGGTTTCTTTCGTAACCATCACCACTGAAAGCTCTTGTAGTTCCATCTGTTATATTATGTTCCCAGATCTGATGCTGCCCAGCCATTGCAATGTAAACAATCTCATTGATGGGCTCAAAGCAGACATCCCATGGAGAATTGAGGAGCTGAAAGATCGGATAGAAACATACAATAGCACAAAGGCAACAAAGAAAGAAAATCTCTAATAATATACAATGGAGAGGTTTCTTTTGATAACTAGTTGCATGCAAACTACTGGTAGAAGGTTCAATTATTTTCAAGTTCATCATGCCTGATCAGTTCCCTTTCCTCCGCCTCTGTAGTCAGAACCTTTGGTTCCATTTCCAGCAAGAGTCCGCACCACCTCATTAACAAAATCAATCACCCTACAAGAGCAGAAGTTGAAGAATAAAAATAATATATATATATATTAAAATGCTTCCAAATTTTATCCCAAGTAGTAGACAGCAAGGAAACCACAGGGACGAAAGCCCCCTTGGCCCCCAAAAGTAAAAGGCAAAACTAAAGAAGAAAATGAAAATGGGCTGACATTTTCATTATCAATAAAGGTGGAATGTTAGTCAAAGACTTTAACATTTCTCAATATTACATGTATGCAGGGAACAAGAAGGAACAATTAAAAATTGAAAAGAAAAAAATAAGTCTAATAATAGGATGTTAATCACTAATGAAACCGAAGATTAAGTATTGAAAATTTTAACTCAACTTTACTCCTGAAATATTTATGCACTGAAAGTTTATAAGACATCCATGACACTAAAAACAAAATCAAAATTATCATGTTTTGATTATATTCGTTAATTGGTGATAAGTCAGATATTTTAATTTAAAACTGCAACCAATTTAAATCAATTTTCTGATTTAAGTATGAATAAGCATTACTGGACGATTTTAACTGAATGCATTGAGTTAACTACTGATTTTTGATATCAAACAAGGCCCAAGATTGCCGTATTTTCAATTGATTAAATTTTCTGCACCTCTACTTTTCTTTATACAATGTGGATCTCCAGTCTGTAATACAGCTTAAACAGGAATGATCCTGTTGTTGATCACAGTTTCGTTATCAGACCACTAGATTCTCCACTCATGCACAGTTTTCTCAAAATGAATCTCAAGAAATGTCGATCATAATGAAAACTGTCCTTATTCAGGACCACAAATATTGCCAATCAGTTTTCAAGAGTATACAATACACAATTGGCTTCATATGATGGACAATATTTTGCATCTAGACCAGATCAAAACATTGTGTATCACTAACTATCCATTCATAGAAGAAAATGCTTGGGAAGAAGTCTAGATCATATTTTTAAATTATACAAATTTTAGAATCATGTTTTAAGTAAATTGATAGGTAGACATGATTCTGTATTTGAGAAAACAATATCCATTACTAATGAAATTCAAGCATAAAAACCATGAATCAATTAATGACAATTAACAAATCAATTTTACTACCTTAAAGCATGGTTTTCAGTATCTGCTACATAAAGAAGATTTCTCTTTGCATCATAAGCAAGGCCCTGAAAATATGCAAATATTATCTTCTATTCTGCATATAGCCAGTAACAGACAAGGTAAAGCAACGAATAAAAACCCTTATAGAATTAGCCTTGATTATTAACTGTGGAGTAATGGAAAAAGGTAGCTTCCCATAGAGTTACACTTGAAAGAAAATTAGCCTCAATTATTACCTGTGGGCGATTGAAGGTGGCTTCTTCAAAGTTGCCATCCTGCAAACCTTCCTCTCCCGTGCTTCCAATTTGGACCAAAAAATTCCCATCTAGGTCTGTTACCACCTAAACTCCAGATCAAACAAGAAGATTAAACTCCTACTGCAAATATTTTCTGAAAAAGATTCACCTCTGAACATCATAAAGGAGGAGGAAGGACGAGAAAGAGATCATCTTATATATCAAATTGGTAAAGTTTTTAAGGAGCCATAGGTTGGTGGACAGTGGACAAGAAAGAGATCATCTCCAGATTGTTTTAAAGTTGTTTCCTTAAGGATTTCTTCAAGAGATAAAAATATAATTAACCAAAATCTAGAGAGAAGATAGCTCTATCTCAAGATTAAGTATGGAATTTACCATAATTCTAATAGACATTCATTGTTATGTGACTAACTTGGGCAAACCATAAACTATATTTTGCCAAATGCATAATTCTCGGCAAAAAATTTTAAAAAAAATGCTAGAAGTATATCAATTTTTGTAGTGAAATCTACCTACTTACCCTTATCTTACCACCTTTTAGAAGATGTTTACTACATTCCCGCTCTTGTTCATGCTTGTTCCAGACCTGGAACAATCCTAATCCTGGGTATGAAGGTATCTCAGTCAAATGTTTAATGATTCTGAACAACGGCTTTCCACAGGCTCTTTTTTTTATTAAAAAAAAATGGTTTATATTCAATAACTATCTGACTCTGGAACAACCCTCATTCTGGGTGTGAAGGTACCTCAGTCATATTTAATGAATCTGAACAAAGCTTTCATCAGGCATGATTTTTTAACATTGTAAGTTTATATCATATAACTATCTGATTGGTAAAATTACTCAAATCAGGTCAACTACAGTTTTGACAACTTTTTCTTCATCCATCTGTAATTAACTATTATATTTTTCAACTTATGCTGTCATATTTCAAACAATATTTATGCCTCCTTTCTGGAAAGAAATATGTAAACGGCGAGATTAAAGAAGCTATGGAATGTTATACTGAAATTAGCATGAACAGAATACTGCTTTGCAAGTTTAGTAATTCAAAACTAGAAGTGACGAGGAAAGCTGCATCAAAGGTCACATATAATGTGTGATTATGTAATCAAGAATACAGCATGTATTAAGTTGTTGTTATAAACTTCTTTGGAAGAGTGAACTTACTATTCGGTTATGATTGCTGTCTGAAATGAAAAGGCGGTTGTTGAGGACATCAACTGCCAGCTTGCCAGGAAATTTCAAAGGAGAGGTCAATAAGCGGGGATCATTATCCTTCTCCAAACTCAAAGGAATGGGTTTCTTGTCCAACATATTCTTTCCACCATAGTACAGAAGAGCTGCTTCTACTAGATCATCAAGATCCTTTAAGGAAGAAAGAGAAGCAGTTACTTAAAATGTATTTTAAGTAAGAAAAACTGTGACAACTGTATTATTCAATTTAAAAAATGTGAGAAACCATTAAATAAGCATGCTGTTGAGAAACAAACCTTTCTATGGCCTTCACCTGATACTTGTGCAATGAGTTTACCATTGGGCCAACAATAGCAAATGTAGGCCATGAATTGACACCTAGCTCCCGCCATAAGTACATCTCCCCATCATTGACAACCTAGGGTTTAATAAAAAGAATTACATATAATGACTAGAAAAATAGCCATTGACTTTAACAAGCACACATTGCAGAAAACGCGAAGTGAGAATGTGACCACCATATCTTAAAAAAGTCATGATCAGAATGTAGAATAATTAGAGATGCAGTCGCACAAGGTTAACTGAAAAACTTAAAACTGGGAAGTAGATAGTCACCCTTTAATTAAAGCATAAAATCATCAAGAATCAAACATTAATTCACAGCTTCTCTACACAAACAAACTTCCACAACATCTTCACTTTGGGCAGACTGACTTGGTGGATTTTTCTGACTAATTGGCAGCATTATGTATGCAGAAAACAATAATACATTACTAGCCTTCAAACTTAGCAGCAACTTAATGATCATATAACTCTTTAGGTTGTACTTCCCTGCTTTTGTACCACACAAGCATTGCATTGATCAGCACGCAAGAAGCATTAAGGCAATCAATCTCCAAATGCTTGTCACAAATAAATTGAGTATTTATAAATTTCAAGAATCTCCATCATAGAACTCAAGGCACATAGCTTACTGGGTGACTAATTCCATAGCGTAGAACTGCATTCCGAATAGCTTCTAAATCCTTCTCATTATCAAATTTTGCAGAATGCACTCCAACAACAATAAACTGCACATATGTAACCACATCTTCAGCTAAAGGTAAGGCAAACAAAGAATATTTTGACATACAAATTAATAGTAAGAAAAAAAAAAAAAAAAAAGTTACACACAGCAATGCCTGTATCCAAACATCTGCATGGAAAGGGCACCATGAAATGTAGTGATACATTCAATTTTCTCCTCCATTTACTCTGGATCTTTTTACCTCCATTTAGCAGATCTTTCACCATACGATTTCTGTGAGTTTAGTCTAGTGCTTTGTTTATTACGATAAAACAAGGGTCATTTGCTGATATCTAGTTTGACTATCAAATGCACACTTCAGCTGAAACCATAAAGTTAAGCAAACTCCACTATTAGAAAGTTTATCCACAACCACCAAATTTCAGGTTTAGAAATGAATACAATTTCTTGAAAATTATTTGTTATTGATGTCTAAGAATCTTATCAGAAAAAGTTTAATGAGGCTGAGGCAGCTAAAATGTCAAAAGGATTTCAAAAATTGAAATATATAGAAATATAAAGCCACATAGATGTATTTAAATCCATGCTTCTTCATAAGAGTATACAAAGATGGGGCCTTCACCATAGTTGTTAAATTGTGAAATCCACACATTATAGAAGGGAATGGAGACAGAATCCATGTAATTAGTTTAAAAAAGTAAAGTTGTATGCACAATATTATGTTTTTAATTAGACATATGTACCTTTTAGCTTTTACAACTTCCATTTCTGCCTATCACAGATGCATTATGGGAAACATGAAACAATACAAAAATCCTGTGGAAGAATATACTTTTGAATAAACTACTAAATCATTTATTTTTCAGCAATAAAAGATAGGGATGGCAATGATGATGAAGATTGCTCCACCACATTATGAATACCATCGTTTGAATCACAAAAACTAGCTATGTAAAGATGTACAATAGCATACATCTAACCTTGCTGACTATTTTGTAAGATAACTAGGAAGAAACTAGGAGTAAACATGAATTATTTAACCATGTCCTTTTATCTTCTCTCTATTTCTCATTTTCTACATTCTACATTGTCATGGTGTAATAACATTCTAAACGTATTTAGAATTGTTTAATTAATATTTGGTTAATTTTTCTTTTTCAATAACTCAAAGAGCTAAAGGGAAGCAACCTTCCTAAACAATTTATTACACAAACCAAAACAAATGGTAAACTTTCTGTGTCCAGTTATCATTATATCTCAATCAAAAGCTTAAAAACTTTGGCTTTCCTGGAAAACTTCCTTGCTATTGAATTATGCATAGCATAGAGTATGAGTATTCAAAATGTATCCAACTTAGAGAGATGGCTCCTATATTGCAGGTGTAGCAGATAGGACGGCTGGTAAATACCTTCCAAAAGAACTTGTAATCTACCAAAGAACAGTTTTTAAGTCAGTCATGCATTATCTATCTGTTAAAACTATATGGTTGATTAATTTCTTATAGAAAGTGAACTGGAACTTTTAGCCATTTGTTTTATCTACAGAACTGAACCCTATAAATGAAAAGTTAGTCAAATGAAATCAATAGCGTAAAACTCAGTTTCCTGCAAAGTTGTGGGATTATAGAATTCCATGGAAATAATCAAGTGAAGTATATAGTAAACAACATAGCAAACCATTTGAAATTTATACACCTCCACAATATCAACTTAGTTAAAGCAACAGCCAGTTTGGAGATAAAACTCATACAAGTACTACTTCAGATGCTCTGAATGGAAATAATTGGATCTTACTGGCATATCTTTGTATTTTTCCTCCAAAAACTCTAGATCTGGCAGCACATGCATACAATTTATGCAGCAGTAGGTCCAAAAATCCAGAAGAAGCACTTTTCCTTTCAAATCCTGTTATAACAGTGAAATAGTTTTTAACACAATTGGCAGTGGAATTGCAGTCTTACCACCCACAACTGTATCCTTAAGAACTTCAAGAATCAGAAGGCAGTTATGGTTTCATGACCAAGAAACATAACTCCAGCTATGTTCTTCAGTATCTAAAGTAGTGTTCTATAAGTCAAAATAAATCTTTCCTAAAAATTATTTTACCAAAGCACTGGTTTGAAAATGGGAAAATAATGAATAATTCAGTTTCAGCAAGACCGTGGATGGCGTGGGGTTAAATGTTTGGGCATTTAACATCTCCAGATTACAGTATCCAGCTTTATGTCTTACCGTTTTAATGATTACGTTTTCCATATCTGTTTGTGCCCATAAATAAATAACTATAATTCTAGCACATTGTTTAGAACAATAAAACTGTTAATGCAAAGGTTTTTGAGGACATATTGATGGTGGTGGTGAGGTGGAGATAACAGTGACAACACTGGTGCTGCAACATGTTGGCAGTTGTGGTATGGTGACCAATGGTGGTAACAGAATGATAGTGGTGACAGCTGGCAAAAGTAGTGATGGTGGTGGTGCACTGATTACTGGTTGCAGAAATGGTGGCAGCAATAGTAGATATGAATGACAGTCAAGGGGGTTGGCTTTGACCATTTGCACCCTCAAGCCCTCTATTAATTTTTGTCTTTAATACATTTTAATTAGCCTCTGATTGGATTAAATACTAACTCCTTTTTTCAGCAAACTCTTAAGTGGAATTTTACTAGAATAACATTTGATCAACCCCTTAAGACTGTACTACTCATGAAATTATAGTGAACACTGATATTTCCTAATCATATGATGGATGATGAAGTTAGTAGAGTAAGCAACAGTAGAGGGCATTTTTCAACTAGACATCAAACCATATTTTCGGCTGACTAAACATGACAATGTAATGGAGAATGGGGAAATTTTATAATATAAATTCAAAAAACAAAAAAAGTTAATCAAAACATCCCCACCTTATAAAAATTAGTGACAGCAGAAATTTGAAACAGATGATAGACTTACCCTGCTTAGTTTAAGGGGAGCTGTGTTCAGCCAATCAAGTTTTGATGGAAACTCTGGCACAGAAGTAGCAGTTCCCCTTACAAAAATTTTATTAAAACAAAATTACAAATGAATAATAAAGTAGGCCAAACAAAGAACAAGAAATGAATTATTAATGTGTAAGAAACCAAAATGTAGGAAAATGGCAATCAAAATCTAAAAACACATCAGAACAATGAGAAGCAGGGGGGAACTCACTAACCTGGATTCCAAATCAGATATATAGTTCACAAATTGTTTAACTCTAGAAGAACTGGACGCACCTGAAAGAGCATAGTAAAAACATTACAGTTATTCTATTGTTAATTCAGTCCAAACTGCACCATTTATCTACATATTCTTTGCTTAGTCCTCTTCCACATTATGTTAGCAGAATGAAAATTCATTGGCAAGATAAAACTAAAATTAAAAAGAAAATGGGGAGGAAACAGAAAAGAGGAGAAATGGAAAGGTTACAGAAGATGAACACTTCCATATTGTAGACAAGAAGGAAATCTCACAACCTTCATTCCGTATAAAGGAGTTACCGCTGACTCCAAATAGCAAATTCCATATAGCTTTTGGAGATGCATACTGCAATGCCTGAAAACACCCAACTTCCAAAAGACATTTTAGGCAATAAATTAATAAAAATATGTTGCATTGTTTATGAATCTGAATCTCAAGACAAAATCAGCATATAAAGATCCTCTTATTTCATTTATCAAATAATGATACCTTCCAGTTAGTAATGGTGAAAAGGAGACAAGAGACTGCAATGCCCAAACTTCCATATCTCAACACATCCCGCCGAGAACCCTGCAGTCTGTCCATAAATTATTTTCTGCAACTGAAAAATACCAAATGTCCCTGATATTTCTCAAAAGTTCCGCAATGATACTTTATATATGAAATTTTCTCTAATTATCTTTTTTCTTAACAGGTTATAATATGAATCAGTACAAACTTGTTAGCATTTTTTAGCTTGAATAGTGATGAAGAATGCTGTACATTCATTCAGTCAGGGATTCAAGGATAATGGCAACTGTAGGCGATGAAATGGTAGAAGGAAAATAGTGTTGCGGTTAAAGAAACAGCTGATTAGGTTCCCGAGTTCTGATTTGGAAGTGGAAATAAATGTATATAGCAAGAAGTTATAAAAATAATAGAATATATGGTAGAATGAAGGCAATGATATAAATTGAAAGTAGGAGAATATAAGTTTTGCAAGATCAAAATAAAATAAAGCTATTTTTCCATCTACATTTGGTTTAAGTAGAATTGCCATCTTTAAAAAGAACTGCACAAAAATAAGATTTTTTTATTTGACTTTTGGAAAGGTTAAATTCTTTCTTGTATGTAAACTCAACTTTAAATTCTTCTTTACATGTAAACTCAACTTTATCTTTGTAATTGCAAGGGTTTGGATGAATAAGGGAGATGCCAGTAGTAGATAACTTTAATGGGAAGTTTTCCTCTTTTTTAAATTTCAACCAGATTAGTCCACAAGAAGATTCCTTCTTTCAATGATGTTTTTCTATCTATTGAACACTGAATTCGAAGAATCAATTCAACTCAACTAGGCCCTTTTCAAGTTAAGTTACATGATCTTCATTTCCATTCTGGTTTATCCATAACCCATGGTTGCAGTGAAACCAGATAATATTCAGCCAAAACCATGCCTGTCCATATTATTGCCCTCAAATCCAATCTATATAAGGAAAACCTTTATAATTTAGATAATAGCCAATCAACATAGGAAAAACCCTAAAATGCACAATACCAAAAACAACCTATCCACAAAAGAATCAAAGTGAGAGAACAATCCTCAAAAATCATACATCCCAAAATCCAAATTCATCAGGTGTTGATTCTCAATTCAAAGTAACATTTTAGAAAAATAAAGGATAATATTTAATTGTTTATCAATAAATAATCAATCATAAAGGTTTAAGTGGAAACACAATAAGGTCGTGCTGCTTTATCAAAATGATTGATTAAATTATACTGGACATGAAACCTCTCTTACCCTCCAACTGAGAAGGCCACATCTTTGGAAGAATTTGTATCTGGCAACAGACTAGTCTCGGCTTGGTCCTTGAGCAATGTTGACGGTGCCTGTGCAGAACAGTTAACAAATTGGGCCTGTTTCTTTTCATCTGCAATGGGTTTTAATTATCAGACCACATTCTGTTCAGATAATACATAATCCTAACCACAACCCAAGCAAATAATTTTGAGGAGAATAATGGTGATGTAATCATCCCCTGCCATCAAACAAGAAATACAAACTAACAGTTGAAGAGTCAATTAACTGGCAACAAAGACAACACTAAAAGCTGAGATCCTTATTAAAACAAGTCCAATAACTAGGATGAGTATTACAAGAAAACCAGGCCTTACTTGTAGTCCTTTAATAATTAACACAAACTGTGTCTTGATTTTTCCAATTATTCATGGAACAAAAAGACATTTTTCAGTATACTACAAAAACTACATACTATGAGAACCAGAGGCCCCTGTGAGAATGTCATCAAGTGAAACATTTCCTATCTCCTGTCTGATAAGTGAAGGACCAGCTTTTTTTAGAGCATCTTCTGATAATGTTGTCGTCACAGCTATACATCTAGCAAGAGAAAAGTTTTTACCATGCATCAAAATGATGAACAATGCAGATGCATAATCAACTTGAAATGTCCAATTCAAACCCATACAAACAGGCAATAATACATAAGAAATGCATCACATCCAAAAGCATGTAGTAACAGCAGATTTACCTCATCTGTGCCGCTTTGGCAGCTTGCACTCCAGCTAATGCATCTTCAATAACAATACACTAGGCAAGTATGTATATAAAATTAATGATTATATTATTAAAAGTGGACATGAATAAAACTGAATGGATTGATCATTTAGAGAAATCCAAAATGTTAGAAACTGAAAGGCTAAGCTGATATATTTTTACTGACATTTACTGGGAAAATCAAATCTAGAAGTTTTGTACTGTTAGAATATAAGTCCCACGCTCACTTGAATATCCATGATATCACTACCATGGGAGATGTTCACATAGAAAGAAAAACTTTTAAGTAACAAATAACCTTTCAAAGGAAACCCATAAGAAATTCAAAAGATATACCTCACTAGTGGGCACATTCAGAATTTTTGATGCAGTTAAAAAAATATCAGGAGCAGGCTTCAGATTCTCAAATGCATCTGCCGATACGATAGCATCAAACCTGATCAAAGTAAACTATCGAGCATCACAACCTCTGCACTTATAAAAAAGATGAGGATTATAGTTATCCTTAATATAAAATGGGGGGCCAATACAAGAAGCTGTTAGCACTTGCATGTAGGAAACAGTGATGTTACAATTGCCCAGAACAAATTCCAAAATTAGCAACATCCTAGCATTTATCATTTTTTATCAATAAAATTATCAACCTTCCATCCAAATGCAGTGTGCTCCCAAATTATTCACCAAACAAAAACCAACTTTATTATCTGGTCAGAGGTAACTGATATGAAGCCCATTTCTTTTAAAGATGACCAAGACCTCCTCAGTGGAGAAAATAATATGTCTGCGCATGAGAATTGGGGGAAAATATGGTAGTGAAGCATGAAGAATTAAAATAAGGTTCAATTCTGCAAGCCATGAGAATATCTCCTGTTCCAGAAGACTGAATAAAAGAGATATGATGAATCCTGTTGTTTAAGGATTTAGCAAATTACAACAAATAAATTTACATTTTTAGGCTTAACTGGTGTTAATGTTGCAAAACTGTAAACGCTGTAATATTGGTAAACAAGGTTTATGTTTGGAGGATGTTATACAGGAGTTTCTTCCATGTTAAAATAGTAAACCTTTTTAAACACAGTTGACAAACAAAAAAATGAAATTAGTAATGATGGTATTAATAAATCTTATGGCATATATAGATGTTACTAATGGTAATGATTATAAATCAGGAGACATGAGGAAGTGAAACAACTAGATCTGGAAATTGGAAATTATATAGTTGAATTGATATCACTTACCTTGTAATAATAACAACAATATAATTTTGTACTAGACCATAACAACTGACTAACTTGTTTAACATGGAAGTAAATTTGCATATATAATCTAATTTAAAAGACAATTAACAATTTGGAAAATAAGTTCCTAGAGATGATCCTTCATTGACACTCCCACTCAACCTCCTTAACCAATTTTCCATGTTGTATGTGATTCTTCCATATGGTGTGCAAACATGAAGGCAAGGGTCATATCTTCTAGAAAACTGTTTTTAAAAAAAAAAAAAAAAAAGTTCAGTTCTAGAAAACTATTCAACAAAAAAATATTATTGAAAATATCAATGTACAAGAACTCGATTTTATTGCCATGAAACTGAAATAACCTTTGCACATATCACAAGATCTTTCAAAAGCCTTGGATCCATGACCCAATGGTAGATGCTAGGAACATGACATTCTTAGAGTCTTGCCACACAATCAATGCACTGCACTGCTCTCGTTGCAGAATGTTGAAGTAGAGTGCCTCAGCAGATTGAAAAATGCTACAATTTTCATATTAGGCCAGTCTGCTTCTTCAAGCCAATCCATACAAGAGACAGACTCAAACATATTCTCCATTAAAAAACTAAATGCTTACACTTTGGCTGTTATCAGGATGGACTGAGTATTCAATCCTTGGGAGAGCCAAAAATGTTACAAGTATTTTGTAGAAGAAAATAATTTGGTTAAATAACAAATTTATCATATTAATTATTAAACTAATTAACATATATAATATAACTCAACCAAGCTTTTTTATATGAATTATAAAAATTAGAAAACTAATATGTAGCAAACAAAATGAATTGCTCGTTAGTTGATTACAATTAGGAAGTAGAATTTCACAACACTATCATTCTTTTTCCTCGAGTTTTTAAATATTTTAATAGTTTGACCAATCTGAAAAACTTAAAAAGGAATCTTCACTTATCCACAAGAATGCAAAACCTGTCTATTTGTACTTCAAAAGGGATGTCTACCCTTACAATTTCAAGCAAAAAAATTTCTTAAATAGTTATTAGATTACTTCCACATAAATAAATAAATAAACGACAAGATATCTGGCAGGAGAAAAACGTAATTAACTATCTGAAATCCAAAACAAACCCTCAGTTCCAATTACAAAGTTGAGAGGATTCGAGTCCCTTAATAACAACCTGGTCATTATCATTTGTTACATTTTTCAACTAGTTTCTGAGTAAATTGATTGAAATATATACTCCTCACTTATTAGATAAAAATTCTTGAAAATTATGGGATGCTAATAAGTAATTCTTAAAAATCTTGAGCCGAGGCCTGAGGAGGAGGTGGGACACATAGCCCCCATTCCATCCATCCCAGGTTGTTAACTCCATTTTCTTTGACGCTACATTACTAACGCTCCTATTACTTACTCTCCAGCACCCAATCCCCATAATAATAATTAAAAACAAAAATAAAAAAGCATCCGCTCTCACAAAGGACAACTATTTACTGCACCCATTATATCTTTTTGATATGTTTACTCTTTGATATGTTTATATAGTTCTATGCATTGTAGAGGCATCCATCTGTGTGTTTATGCATGTGTGCACAAGTGTATGAGCTGCTCTTTCTTTTACCAACTGTTCATCCAGTGCCATACCTAATGATGTGCAATGCCAACCTATGGCAACCTCACAGAGGCACATCCAGTAAACCATTACAGTAATTTTACAACAAATTCTTAGTTTCAATAGATGAGAATTGTAACTTAGAACAGGTTGCTCTATACAGGATATTTTATTTAAAGATACAAACATCACTGAAAAATTATTGATTGTTAATCAATATCAAAGTTTAAAATGTTAATCATGTAGACCCACAAGGTTAAAGACTTCAACGTTCCTTGTATCAACAAATCAAGAATTGTAGATCAGGAACCACCATCTAGTCTATGTGATAAACTGGCAAGCCATGGAACATTATATGGCAACTTACATTGACAATGGCAAACCTGCAGCTGCTAAATTTGCATCAACTTTGATACGATCTGCGCTAGACGCAACAGCAACTTTGAGCCCCTTGTTTTTACACTATTATACAACAGTATCACTTGTACAGTCAATTAATGCAGCGGAATAGTATTTGGAAACTTCAAAGTCAGTGCCCTCCATACCTCAATAATGAGTTCAAGGGCACCAGGAAATCCTATTCCAGAATTTGGTTTTGCATACTGCAATAAATGATATACTTTTAGGGATCAGTACTGATTTTACACATTAAGAACAGCACAGCACCATTGGAAATGGATTTTGGTCTGTGTAGAAGAAAACATAAGAAATATAACTATTTTTTAATAACCTTATCTAGATATATCTCAAAAAACCTTTTCTTTGCTGACTCAGGGTTGAATCCTTCAACACCCTTTACAGAAGCTACACCTCCTAAAAAGTTTGCTTCACCTAGTCCACATACAGAAAAGATCACGACAGATAAAATATGAAGGTAAAAACATAAATAAATAAATAATAACAACAACAACAATTTAATCCACCATCCTTGTCTCAATTAGCCAGATTACTAAAACTTATTGGCATCAAGGTAGCTGGAATAGAATTTTATTATCCGTAGCAAAACATTAGTCTATTCAAGCATTGGAAATAGCTAGATTGGATCTCATATTTGAAGCCTTCTCCGGCCAATGTACCCGTGGGAAAAACTTATTATCCAGTAATGAAAGAGTCAGAAAGTAATTGTGTATTTAGTATATATATTTACCATGCAAGATTAGACTGCATCTATGCATGGACACTGGAAAAGAATATTTAATTTCTTCTGAAACTAGTGAATGTTAATTGATGAAATTGCTGGGAATACAGTCATAGAGCCTTCACCGTTGTCTTGTGAGGCTATCCATTAAAATATAATAAATCACGCACCGTTCAGACAATGACATAGATAGAAGTGGCTATCTTTCCTTTCTTACAACAACAACTTTAATCCACTGTTTTATTGTTTAAAATATTGAGCAGCACAGATTGCGAAGCATTATCCGTCTTTATGTTATTTTACCCCTTTTTTTTTCCCAAAAGCCTAGTTTTATAGTTCGTCCCTCGCATTTTTTTCCTCCTTGGAAACAGGAAACGTGTTCTGAAATATATAGTTGTTTCTATCACCTTATAAGGGTAGGACGCACCCCCACCAACCGGCGGAAATTTATGGGTCATAGAAGAAGGCAACTTAAAAAATACCATAGATATGCAGAATGAATTGTCAGTGTTGGGTAACTTTTTCAATTCTGGGAGCTATAAAGGCCAAAAACCCATAGAATTTTATTCAATTTCATATAGTGAGGTCAATGTGAGATCAGTTTAAGTATGTGGATAGTACTGGATACTAGACTGACGTTAATTGAAGCCGAAGTAGAGAGATGAGGTACATACCAGTGCCCATGAACGGCACGAAGTCCTCGACGGTGACTTCGACTCCCATTTCAGCAAACACATCGACGGCGGCCATCCTCGAAGGCTCTTCGCTGTTGCAGAGCACTCCGTCCATGTCGAACAACACTGCAGACACCTTTCCCCACTCGCTTCCGGTCTCTGGAACACTCTTGTCCTCCAGTTTCACACACGCCGTCGGCGTCGCCGCCATAATCCGCCGCCGAGGAAACACGACGGGCCTTTGCAGCCTCTGGAAAAGAGAGCTTGGTCTTGAGGCCAACCTCAAGTTGTAGAGGAAGGTGGAGAGCTTTGATTGAGACGAAGAGGGAGCGGGAGACAACACTCTCAGCGCCATTCTTCCTCTCTAAAATTCGTTTCTATCCGAACCGAGTCCGCGCCGACTGCGAGTGGCGGGGAGGAGCTTGACTCCTGAAGTTATGTTGTATTTTTCAGGACGAAATTGCCCTTCCATTTTATCCATTTTGTTTTTGTGTTGGCTTCGGTTTTTTTTGTCTTTTGAAAAATTGTTTCTGGAAGAGAAAAATTTAGGGACAGTAACGGTAACGGAGGAGCATCCTTGAACTTGGTTTGAATTTTGAAAGGCTGGGAAAATATTTTAAATTATTTTTTTATTTAATCATTTTGTGAGGGTGAGGAAATGACAAATAGTTGTGGGCATTATCCATGCTACTTCTCCCCCTACAACGAAGTACAAGTGGAACCATACACAAAAAATTTAAACCAAGGCACAACCCGCCCGCCCGATAAAGAACGGGTCGGGTGACACATGTCTAAACCGTGGGGACCTACTTCAATCTGAGCCCAATATGTTAATATTTTTTATACTATAATTTATTAACATGCCAGTTACCTAATACTAACGAAAGGTGAAAAACATTTATTATTTTGTATTATTTATAGATATTTTTATTAAGCATTATATAATAACAAGAAAATCTTAAATATATATATTTCAAATTTAAACTTTTTAATTCTTAACTCAGAATCATGAATTACATAAAATATATACTTGACCAAAGTTATTAGTTTTTTTTTTTTTTTGGTTACATTTGAGGTTTAAGTTTAAGATATGAGAAGGAAAAAATTTATTCTATCACTTGGATTAAACTATAAGCTTCTCACTTATTACCGCTTCAAACACAGGTTTGAAAATTTCTCATAGAATATGCAATAATCCAATCTTAGTTAAAATTTGGTTATTGATCTTTTTTAAAAAAAATAAAATATATAAATAGAGAGAAGAAATGATAGGTGTTTGCTTGTAAAATAAATTATAAAAAAATCGAATATTTTAATGGATTAATTCAAAAGTTTCAAATTCAGAATAAAATAGCTTATGCACTTCTGACCGTTGCCATTATTATATTAAGTATTTCATTCATGGAAAGGTTAGGGATTCAATTTGAGAGGCTTGTGAAAAACCCCACCAAACAAATTACACTTCACATAAAATGCAATCTGCTGAAATATCTTGCGGTTTGCCATGTTTCAAGTGCATCTGTTTGTTCTTCTTTTCAAGGTGCTTCTACTTAATTGCATATATTAGTTATTGTACAATATCTTGTAATACGAAGCTGGGCAAGAGATATAACATTTGGATATCTCAATACTGGAAAAACCAAGATCGAAGAGACCACCAGGTCCGACAAAATATACACAATCTCTTCATCTGAGATTTTTGGGACCATATCTGGGAATTGATTCATAACATGTTCCATCGAAAAGGCTTACATTTAACTGCTCTTCAATCTGTACAACTAATCTCTGTGTTAATCAAGTTGTCTCCTTCATATGCACTCGTTCCTGCTAATTTAGAACTACCAGAAGTCCCTACAGGAACAAATTCCATTTCTGAAATGATGATACCTCGTTCGATCCCTCATGATTATCTCCCTATTGTATACTTTGGAGATGAGTTTGGTGGCTTCATGGCAGTCCTCACATACCCTTAAGTTCTTCACAACCCGAATAGTCATGCCTGGTGCTGTGTTAAGGAGCCCAAAAGCTATTGCAAGCTTCTCACTGTGATATCTAAGTTCAGTTTCCTTCTCTTCCTCTTCAATCTCAAACAAAACCTGAGAGGTGTTTGGTTCATACCCCTCCAACCTTATCTTCTCCATGATTTTCTGCAACATCAGGTAGATTTCCTGCATTTGTGGGTGTGACCCGTCTCCCATTTTGAACTCATGAACGCTTCCACCAACATCAATTGTGCTTTTTCCTGTACTTGTTTTGACCCCTGTTTGCTTCATTAGTTTCCTCAAGTTTGCAACATCTTCCCACCTCCCAGCCTTGGCATAGATGTTGGATAACAAAGCATAACGGCCACTGTTCTCCGGCTCCAATTTGAGCAAGATCTTTCCCACTCTCTCCCCCAACTCAACATCTCCATGTTTCCTGTAAACAGGGGCATTCAAGCAACCTGATCATATGACGTCAAACTGATCACTTTGGTTTGGTTTTAGTCTCACTTTAGTTGTTTTGCTTGGTTCAAGAAAAATTTCCAACTGGAAATTCATATTGATTTGGTTTTCGATTTTTCATAATTAGTTATATAAACAGAGAAAACAGCGCAAATAATAAATGATAATACTTCTATTTAAAAAGTTCAAGCTGGATAACTGACAGATTTTTCGTGTCTAACTAGTTGAGCATCTTTTGGTTAGCCACATTCGGTTCAATTTAAGAAAACCGTAACCAGTTCAAATTATTCGGGTTTCAAATTTTCTTCCGTACAAAACCAGAATAAACAGTGTTCACTCCTACCTGCAAGCGCCCAATAGTGCCCCCCAAACAGCTGAATTGGGTTCCATTGGCATAGATTTTATTAGCTCCTCTGCTTCATTCAATAGTCCTACCCTTCCTAGAAGGTTCACCACACAGCCATAACACTCCACTGTAGGCGTAATTCCATAAACTTGCTTCATAGCAATCAGATACTTCAGCCCTTTTTCCACCAAACCAGCATGGGCACAAGCATTTAGAAGAGCCACAAAGGTGACATCGTTTGGCTCAACTTTCTCCCTCTGCATCTTCAAGAAAAGCTCAATTGCATCCTCTGCATGACCGTGCATAGCCAGCCCTCCAATCATGGCATTCCAAGAAAACACTTCTTTCTGCATCATATTCTCAAAAACCTCCCATGCCAAGTCAATTTGCCCACATTGTGCATACATGTCAACCAAGGAAGTACCCAACACAGCATCCACTTGAATTGGATTCTTCTTTATGAAAGTGTGTATCCATCTGCCTTGATCAAGCGCCCCCAAATTGGCACAAGAGGCTAAGATACTGGAGAGGATGAATTTTGTTGGTCTGAGTTTCTCCCTCTGCATTTCCTGGAAAATTTCCAGGGCCTCCTTAAAATGGGCTCCTCTGTTGTAACTGTTGATGACAATTCAACGAACAAAATTAATCAGAGATTACAAGTAATAATAACAACGACCATGAATAAAAGTTAACATAACAGTATTAATCAGAAAATAAAGGTGACGAAAACTGCTTGAAGGTGACAAAAATGGCAATTTGCTAAGAAAAGAACAATCCCCTTTCTAACCAAGGAATATCTAGAATGGTTGCACCTTCTCAACAGACTTCAGACTCTTTCAAAATAACAAAAGAATCCATGAACTGACACCATTACTAAAAAATAACTTTCACATTTTTTTATCTAACAGTACCCATCTATAATTGCACTCCAAGATATATCATCCCTATCAGGCATTTTGTCAAACATCTCCGGGCCTCTTCAATCCTCCCACAACTAGCTAGGCCACTGACCATAGCATTCCAAGTACTTACATTCTTATCAGTCATTATCTCAAACAGCTTCTTTGCTTCCTCCACATTCCCACATTTCATATACCCATCTACCATGGCATTCCAGCAAACAACATCTGAATCCCCTCCATCACCAAGCACCTTCTGAGCATCTAACACACGCCCATGCAACGTGTACATCTGAATTTTAGCACTCTTTATATACCCATCTCCCCTTAGTCCATGTTTCACCACATGAGCATGGATTTGAACACCTTCTTCAATAGCTCCCAACATAGCACAAGCCTTCAACAATGGAGGATAAGTGTACTTATTAGGCCTGGAATTTGCTTCCACCATTCTCTGATGCAAAAAAATGGCCTCCCAGGGGAGATTGTTGTCTAGAAACCCTTTGATCATGGAGTTATAAACAAACACGTTGGGGTTGGAAACTAGATTGAAGACTTGGATTGAAGAGTCCAAGCTTTGAAACTGAGGGTTTGAGTAGCATTTTATAAGGGAGCCTGATACGTAGTGGTCCTGGAAGAGGTGGGTTTTCAGGATTAAAGCATGGGCTTGCTTGAGGTGGTGGAGAGAGGTGGCGCATCTGGTGTTAAGAAGGGTTAGTAAGGTTTTTTGGGAGAATTTGGAGGTGGATGAGCTCTCTGTTAAGTGATGATAAGGTGGCTCAGTTATGGCGGTTGGGCTCATCCCTCCTCTGCCATTCAGGTCCTCCCAAGGCACGCGATATAGTGCCCCAGTTTCGTGATCACGAGATTTTTTCTCCTTTTTATTTTCTTTTTTCTTTTCCTCTTTTGGCCTTTATGAGAATGATAAATTCCCATTTTAAGCCACAATATCTCCAAATCTTAATAGGGAGACCAATGCAACCAACTGAACATCTTGTCCTAATTAAGTATATATTTAACACATCATTGACATGATCAAGAATAACAAAGCCTTACATAATCAAGGATAATAAAGCCGTTTCATTTAGTGATTTACTTTAATTTTTTTCCTTCATGCTATGAACCTAATTTTCTTAAAGAAATACACGAGGAAGGTGAATTACGTACAACTGAAAATAAAGTAGGAAAAAAAAAAGAGCGTTGGCTTGATTGATTAGGAGCATAAGACATCTTGATAAATTTCGATTGAAAAAATAGAATTGTATACGATTAAATATGTAAAAATTATGATGACTAATCTTCACTTTCCTGTCATTTTCATTGGCCTAAATATAGTAAATTTTGAGTTTCAAACATTCAGTGAAAGAAAATTTCTCATGTCTAGCAGGCAGCCGGGCTCCAGTTTGTCTATTCCTTTTTTTTTTGATAAGAGGCCTAAGCTGGAGAAATGGAGGGTCAGAAATCATACTCCTGAGACAGAGATTTACTTAAATCTCAAAAATGTGTTTTACCACTTAAGGTTGGATACTCCATCTCATTTATTTCTTACAGAGTAAGTGAACAGACAAGTTCAGTTATTTAGAGAACCATCAGCCCAAGACAAGTTCAGTTAATGTGCAACAAACATGAGAGTTTTCCTGATATACACAAAAGTCAGCAACAAAGGATTGTTCGGTGCACACAACATTACAAGCAAGGAAACTTCCCAAATACATTGTACAGAATAGATGTGATGAGCCTACATAACTTTCCTCCCAGAAAATATAACTTCAAAAGTTTTACCTTCTCAAGATCCATAGCACTACCCACAAATAAGAAAAGAGAAAAAAAGGACCCCAAAACTGCGAGATCAATGTGAGACTTCTTACTGGGAAGATCAAGTGATGAAGAAAATTCAACACATCCACAAATGCTTTGATCATTTGGTACATCAAGTGAGCCACATTAACCATCCCATTCAGTCTGAAATATTGGGTCACTAGGCCGTGCATCCTTCATCAATTTAAAGGCCATTTGAACTGTGGATTCATCTGGCACAAAGAAGTTTTCAGGAGGAGGTTGGAGAGTTACGTGATATTCGCTGTCTGTTTTAACACCGCTAGGAATATTCTCTGAACTTTTAGCTAGCATGTCCATATGCTTCTTGTAAGCAGCCATTTCCCTCTTGAATCTTTCCCGGTCCTTCCTGCTTTCTTCAATATAAGGCTAGTAGAGAAAAAATGTGGCTAAAAGTTGGATTTCAATCGCCTTTGAGATAACAGGTTACTCATCAGCATACAGAAGTTTAATCTCATTTACCAATTTCAATCATTTCAAACCCCCGTGCATTGAAATTTTACTTGAAGTCTAAGGAAATTGGGTAATTAAAAAATATATATGCACATGGTTTTTGTTTTTTCTCTTTTGTTAGATACTAAAAAATGAACTTACTTCGACACATGTCTTTTTATTTTCTTGTCTTGCTAATCAAACTAACAATTACTAAAATTTTAACTTCTTATACTTTCTCCTTCATTCTCTTCCCTTTTCCTTTTTATTTTGAGCAAGCAAAATAGGCAACAGCATCAGTAAGCTATTAATTTATGGACAGTTAGTTGTAATCCAGGCAAGTTTACCTGTTTATCACTCTCGGAGAGACACCTCCATGCTTCAATTGCCAACATTCGTAGATTAAGTTTTTCAGCTTTCTTACCATGAATCTTTTTCAGCCGCTCACACTCCTTCCCGAGGAAGATTTGATATGCTGTTTTCCCTTTTTTTATGTCATATTCTGGTGATGTCTTCTTGACCAATTTCTGTTCTGGTGTCCCCGGCCCTGCTTTGAATTCTCAAAACCATGGAAATGATGTGAAAATAACAGGATTTCATGATTTTAAGTGTTTATGGTTTTGCAAATCAAAAAAGGCTCTTAGTCTATTGCAAAAATCAATTTGACACAAACTTTGTGGAGGACTATACCACAGCCACAACCATGACCATGAGTAATCGGGCAATAATAATAATAATAATAATAATAAACTTTGCCTCAATCCAGAATTCAAAAACTATAGGTATTGGAATAACAAAGCATTGCTAAGCAATTCAAGAATGAAAACCACAAAAATAAAAAAAGAAAGTAAGATGTTAATTTACTCAGCAATGTTTGCTGACACCCATTTAATTGAAGATCATTTCGGAATCTACGGAAACAGTTTGGGCATCACTCCTTGTTAGAATTTTTTCAAGCAAGATGGCTAAACATAGTAACAGGTGGTATGGATTATGTTTAAACAATCAATTTAAATTAATTAAACAATTCGTGTTACGCATCCATGAAAGCAAAAGAAACTAAAAAGGCCATTGTTTTCAAAGATAATGTTAAGTTCAAAAGGCAGCAGTAGTAGACCTGTTGAGAATGAATTGGACTTATTATGGCAATTTCCCTCAGTTGAATCATCCTCCATGTCAGAATTAACTACTGGTGACTTGGGATCATCTACGTACTTCTGTTTCTTAGTTGAGTAGCTTGAGTAATCTTCAACACAGTAAAAGTTCGACACAAGATTTAAGTAAAACATTAAAAGAAAAACTCGATAACAAGGAAACCACCCAGAAATTACTCAAATAAAAAAATTGCATCAAAGACTATGAAGGACAGACACTCCACAAATTTGAAGTGTGTGTCAGACGAGGCACACATTGGACATGCCTAGACACCATGAAGGCACATCCATGTCCCATTTTTTATTTGATTATGAAGGCATTTAGAAGATATATAAGTCCATAAAATGGGAACCATGGACACATATAGAATCGAGGATAACTTTTTTAGGAGAGCCTATTGGCAAGAATACGAAATTATTTACCATCTTATATGTTTTGAAGAGGCATGATTTGCCTATTCTCTAAAATTGAAGGAGGAGATATTAGGTTAGATGCCTTCAATTGGTTGAATATATTTTTTTTCTTTCAGAGTTTTTATATGTGTTTTTTTCTTACTTATACATTATTTTTAGATTTATATGTTATAATTAAAAATAGGTATGAATAAATTGATGAAAAATGTGGTGTCCTAATTTTTGAAAATGGTTGTCTCCCTGTGTTTGTGTCATATCCAACATGACATATCTGCACCTGCTCTAGAATCAGCTTGCATACCTGAAGCTGCAGCTCTTTTTGAAGTAGTTCGGTAGTGGTATATTTGCTCAAACTGGTAAAGCAGGTTTGCATAGATCTTATGAAGCTCAGTTGGTGTCAGGGAAACTCTGCCTTCTGAGTTCAGCAAAGATGCAATTTCATCCCAACTCCCATCTTTAGTAACCTAGGGAGAGATCAAAGAATAATCAGATAGTTTAATATACAGAATTTATAACAAACTCTAATCTAAAATGAGGGCCACTCACAGTCCACCCATGCAGAAAAGCCACAAATTGTGATTCAGGTAGCGATCCTTAAATGAAATTAGATAATGGGTAATTGGAAATAGCTAATTCTCCTTTTAGGGAAAATGGATTCGGCAGAGTTTATAAGGTACACATTTGGCTTTTAGCCCAAAAGCATAAGGGTGTGTTCAGATAAGATTTTTTCAAAAGTGCTTTTGAAAAGTGATTTTCAGTTTCTATGATATTGTGGCTTTTGTGCATTTGGGCTTTTGGAATTTAAAAGTCAAAAGTTAGGTAAGTGTGCAAGTCTAGGCAATCAAACAGAAAAACCACCCAGGCTCCAGGGCTTATAGCAAACCTAAAATCCAGAAGCCAAACACAAAAGCTCATGACATGAAAGCAAAATTTCAATCCAACCATCAAAATTTGGCAGTTCAATGTCATACCATCTAACAACATAGTAGAAATTATCAGTCTCAAGCATCAAATACCCAAGTTAACACTGATAAGTAAAACCCATTTTCTGCAGTTCCACATCTCTTCCTCATTCCAGAAGCAATGGAGTGAAAATCATTGACGACTAAAACTATTCCATAAGGAAACTGAACCAATATGGAAAAGGAAGTTTTCCACCAATTTGCCCGTTAATTTTCGCATTTCCTTTCAAAAACTAAGAAATTAATTAGATTTTTTTAAGCTTCAAAATGACATTGACAAGATGCAAATTCGAAGTCAGCATTACCTGATGAAACCCTCCTCTTTCAGTCACTTCCTTGTAAAACAACTGCAAGTCCAAGCTAGTCTCCCGGAAATTAAAGCTGTCATTCAAATGAGTTTCAATCAATCAGCAATTTTACAGCAACATATATATTCTTCTATTTTTTTTCCCGATCTGGCGACCAAAAAATAGAAAAACAGAGTTTTTCACATGGGACTTTTCCCGCATTTTCTCAGCAACCAACCAGAAGTTCAAAACAAATGAAATACAGGTCTCCAGAAAAGATAGACTCCAACGATATGCAGAACTCCACCACAACAACGTCAAAAAAAATTCTAGAAAAATCTCTCTCTCTTCCTGTCCTAATCGAAT